CAGCTAGTGAGAGGAAAGGCAACAGGGATGCCCCAAAGGGAAAGTTAGATTGAAAAGAAAAAAAAAGCTAGGGGACTGTCAAGGGCGGGGCGAAAAAATGGACACATATGTAATACCCTTTGTAATACTTTAAGCAATAAAAAAAAATAGGAATCGGAAAAAAAAAAGATAAAGATTAATTATAACAATGACTAATTTCTCGGTCAAAGCTAACAAGGTTAGCCACCCTAACTTATTCTTCTTCCAGGCTCATAGTAATACAAAAATCTGAGTAGTTAATAAGCAATGTTCCTTTATGATGATTGACTGAGTTAAACAGTGAGTTTTACATTTTTTAGAATTTAGACAATTTAATGAGTATTTTCATATTAAAATCATTTCATAATTAAAAGTAACACCAACCCCTGTTTGTTTCCCCATAAAAATGTTTAAAACTAATACATCTAGTGGAAGATTGGCATAAATGCTATTTTATACCTCATGGTATTGATGGACATGTTTGCCATAGCAGAATTCATATTTCCACCAACCAACACCCTACAGAAAAGAAAAGAGATCAAGTTACGTATAGAGAAGGGGGGACTGGTGCCTGTCTCAATATTACCACACAATAGTAACAGAAATATATATATATATATCTATCCTCTAAGCCAAACCAGTCAGGGCAAGTTTTAAATGTGATTGCCATCCAAACATTGATGCCTATTCCAGTGATCAACCAGAATCACATGTGTCTCAGTTATATACATTGTCTGTCACATAAAGGTCAAGTTTTAGCTTGTGAGTAAAGAGAATGATAATGGCTCTGGATTAGAGTATAGTAAGATGCAGAGAGAAAATGTCCACTGAGAGGCTTCCAGAATGTTGCCATTTCTCTATATAGACCAAAAACTTTTTCAGTGTTGCTAATGCCCCTTGTCTAAATGACATGCAAACAAAAGCTGTAAACTAAATATTTAAACGGAACATTCACTTCTCACCCCGTGAAAGCAGTAAGAACCACTAAGGAACTCTTTTATAAGTTGGTCATCTGTCAGTTTGGATATGTGTGTTGTTCCAACAGTGAGCATAGGCTGAGAACCAACAGCAATGGGTTTGTGGACTGCTGGAAATCTCTCTTCTTTAGTTGCTTGCAAATCTTCCTAAAATTAAATACATATATTTTTAAGGGCTTCTTTGCCACACTTAGTTATTTTTCAGTTATGACTTACATTCTTATTTTTATACTGTAGGAAACTTGGAAAATAGAAGTTATCCATTCATTTTTTAATGTGTTTTTAAAAAAATGAATTTTGCAATTCTTGAAAAATGTTAGTTTCATTTACTCATTAGGGGTATGGTGACCATAATTCCCATGCAGGGATAATTTCCGTTTCATATATTTTGTATCATTATTATCTTTTAAAAATATTTGTACTGATTTCAGAGAGAAAGGGAGGGGGAGATAGAAACATCAATGATGAGAGAGAATCATCAATCGGCTGCATCCTGTATACACACTACTGGGGATCAAGCCTCAACCTGGGCATGTGCCCTGACGGGGAATCAAACCATGACCTCCTGGTTCATAGGTTGATGCTCAACCACTGAGCAACACTGGCTGGGCTTGTCTCATTATTTTTATAAAGTATTTTGCTACTTGTTAGATTTTGTGTTTCTACATTTAGTTTTAAAAAATGTGGTTACTTTAAACCATCTATTTTGTGTGTAGAGGTTGTTCAACTAAAGGAATAAATGTCTGTTAAACTAAAAAAAAATTTATTATGGATAAAGAATAACAAGCAGGGTAAAGAGAAACTGAGTGGGAGCAAATACGTATATTAGTTATAATTATGCAATTATAGCAGGGCCTGGGGGAACCTACAAGTTAGTCAAGGGAGACACCAGCTAATAAGGGTGCAGGCACCAGCAGATTCACAGAGGCTGGGGTAATTCAATAGACTTTAACAACAAATCAGAACATGAAGACTTCACAAAGAGAAAACCCTTGGTTAAGTCTTAAAGCATAAATAATAATTTGTGACTTATGTGAACGTCTGTGTGTGTTTTGTGTCTGTGTGTGCATACACATGTGAACTTAAGAGGTAAAGCAAAGATGTGAGGAAGGTATGGTATGATATTTAAAGCTAGAAGATAAGCAGGCACTATATGGTGAAAAACTATACAACCCCAAGAAGTTTGGACATTCTGTTATAGGTTTTGGGCAAAGGTATGGAGCGATCAGGTTTTTAAGTAATCACTTACTTCAGCAGTGGCAGGGAAGAGGGAAGAGTAAGAACAAATCAGGAGGTGAGGAGCCAACTTAGGATCTGCAAGAACCCAGGCCAGAGATGAAGAGAATTTAAAGTAAGGGAGTGAAAGAGGAAGGGTGGAGAGAAGAGGATAGTTTTGAACGAGGTGAATGAGTTAGAAGCTGGGTATTGACGGTGAATTAGGAGGAAATGAATCTAGACCAGAACTGAAGAAGTGAGTGTACTAATTAAAATTGAATAAAATAATTTAAAAAATTAAATACAAAAAGGGTTTCTAGTAAATGTACAGTAGACATGATATCTCTTCTTTCACCTGCAGGAGGGGCCATTGAACAACTGTGGTTCTTTTTATTTCAGCTTGGAAGTCATTGGGCAGTTACTCTAGAAACTAATGACCTTATCCTGTCTCTCCTTCAATATTAAGGAAGAACAAAGATTGCACAAATGGCTTCTTATCTTTTGAAAGGACCTTGAATTTTATGTATGACTCTTTCCACATTCAGAACCTACTATGCCCCTGGCACTAAATGCTGAGCATTAAGAATGAAATATAGTCCTAAGGAGCTAAGGTCTAATAGACTAAACTATTTATTTAGAATACATGAGGCCACAGTAAGGTTAGTGAAGAAAAACAATACTGCACAGTGAGACCTGCAGCTGAGATAAGGACAAGTAGGAAGAATAAAAGCATGACCATTTGTTATTGCTTCTTGTGGACAGAAAATCTACTGTCGTGTTTAAGAAAAATTATTACAATAAAAGCAAGATGACAGTAGTTTGTATAGTAGGGTTTATTATTATTATTATTTCATTATTATTATTTTTTAAAATATATTTTATTGATTTTTCACAGAGCGGAAGGGAGAGGGATAGAGTTAGAAACATCAATGAGAGAGGAACATCGATCAGCTGCCTCCTCTATACCTCCTACTGGGGCTGTGCCTGCAACCAAAGTACATGCCCTGGGCCGGAATTGAACCTGGGACCCTTCAGTCCACAGGCCGATGCTCTATCCACTGAGCCAAACTGGTTAGGGTAGGTTTATTATTTTTAAAAAATATTTTGTTATTGATTTCGGAGAGAAAGGGAGAGGGAGGGCAAGTAGTAGGGTTTAGAGCTTTATAAAATAGGCTCCTAATAGTCTAGTAATCTCTAAATTAACATAATATATTAACAGGCAGAACATCAAACCAAAATTCTGTAAGACAGATGTGTGTTTTTGTTTAAAAAGAAAAAAATTATTTATATTTTTAAAAAATATTTTGTTACTGATTTAGGAGAGAAAGGGAGAGGGAGGGCAAGTAGTAGGGTTTAGAGCTTTATAAAATAGGCTCCTAATAGTCTAGTAATCTCTAAATTAACATAATATATTAACAGGCAGAACATCAAACCAAAATTCTGTAAGACAGATGTGTGTTTTTGTTTAAAAAGAAAAAAATTATTTATCTTTATTGATCCATTTTTAAAAGACAAACCATAGGCCAAATATCAATTTTAAAAGAAAAGCTATGTGTAACACACTCAATTTATTGTATGTACTCTATTTCTGGAAAAGGAAGTACTGAGAAAATACTGTTAGATAATTCTCATACCTCTTTATTTCTCCTGAAAGGCACCCTTAGAATTTCTTCCTGCTGTTCCAACTGTCTCAGGGTGAGGGGCTTAAATGGTGATCCTGGCAGTGATTGGCAAAATATGTCATTCACAGGAGATGCTCGGAATCTGTTAAAATTAATACAACGTTAAAATTAAGCATATGGCAACTTTAAATCATGTGCATTTCATGTTTAAAATATTAAATCCACATCCTACCTATATTTAGGATGATTGCACAAGAGTGGTGTCAAAATGACAACTTCATATTCACAAGTTGTAACTTCGGCTACTGAAAGAATTTCATGCTTAGATTCAGGATGACATATGTACATCACAGTACTTGATCTGGGCCGGTTCTGTTTCAAACTACAAGGTGTACCATTTCCCATTCCCACAGGATAATAGGGTGTCATCTGACCTTCGATATTTTTAGTGGGAATCTTAAAAAAAGAGTATAGAACAGACTTTTCATTAGAAATGGGGGTAGGAGTGAAGATGGGAGAAGCACTTAATCTGAAAGGAAGACAACTATATTTTATTTACAAATTCACATTTATAAAGGTAACTTTTATGTATTTCTATGAATTCTCCCTCTAACAGTCTTTTGACTTGTAAGTTCTTATTTGAGGAAACACATTTTCAGAGCTAATTTAATACAGCAAAAAAAATATAAATGTTTATTCAGTACTAAAATAAAGATGTTAAGTAAATGCACATTAATATAAAAGGCTATAATATCATGTTTAATATGAATTATTTTTAATAGTTCTAAAGAAAGAGACTAAGGTAAAAATGTAGGAATATACTGTATAGATCTGGTCAGGGCTTTCTTTACTAAAATCTCAGTGCATTGCTGTGATAGAGCTTAGATTCTGGAGATTTGAAGTTTGATTTGTCAAAATGTGGAGTTACATAATAAAACACTATCTTCTAAAACAGGAATCTAAATATTGTATTGTTCCTTAATCTGCTTACTCTTCTTCCCTGTTATTAATATTAATAGACATATTTTCAGCACATAAATTCTTCAATAAATCTATTTAAAGCCAGCAAAAGATAAATGGAGAAATTTTCATGGAATGGGGGGCCAGGGGGTACATTACGGAGGATTATTAGGGAGTTAGCGCACACATTATTATCTACATAAACACAAGAAAAACCTAATGTAAGGGCTTTGGAGGCAGGGAGCTCATCTTGTATCACTTAGGTACCCTGTCAGTGCATGTCCAAACAGACAATAAATAAATGTATCCAGAGAAAAATATTTTGAGATTTCTTATATGTTATTTTCATGCTAGTGTCTAGAATTAGAGAGTCCTGGGTTTAAAACTAAGTACTGAATTTACTAGTTTTATAACTTTGATCAAATTTCAGTTTTTGCCGTTTGTAAAAGTAGAATAATATACAGGGTAGGACAAAAGTAGTTTATAGTTCTTTGTATAGAAAATAATATAATAATGAATAAATAATAATATAAGACTAAAATGTTTTGTGTACTCACAACTATAAACCTACTTTTGCTCCACCCTAAATATACTCTAAGGTTGTGGGAGAATTAAGCATTACCTTTTGTTACATGCCTGGCACAACACTTGCCTTATAAATTAGAACTCAATAAATGTTAATTTTCTTCCCTTACCCTTTTCTTCCTTTTTCTTTATAATTTCACATTTTGAATTTCATCTTGCTATCCTCGAGAGCCACAGTAAATAAATATTTTATCTCAAAGGTAGTCCATAAAATTAAAATCTTTTAAAACAGCAATGCTGTGTGTTTCTACATTTACCTTTACCAATTCTCCCCAAAGCCACCCTTTTAAATTATAGGCATCCCCTTTAAGTGATTTTTAGGGTCTGCTGTCATTTCACTTTATTCTATTAAAAGTATCATTCTGATATAAAGCCATTTAGAGAAATATCCTCTATCAATAATTTAACTGTAAATTCTTAAGATTCAGAAAGCATTCATTGAATTACAGGGGCATTTAAAAACTGTGATTAAGCACCATAAAGAATCATTCTTTTTAAATAATCCAATTCAGTTATCAATTATGCATTCACATTCAATAAACATTTATGAAGTGCCTCTGTTATGCTTGGCACTCTGCTTTGTCCTGCAGGGGGTAAAAAGATAAAAGCCAGTCCCTGCTTTTAATATGCCTGTAGTCTGGCACCTTGTTATTTATATAGATACTCTTAAGTTTATCTATCTATCTACCTACCTATCTACCTACCTACCTATCATCTATTTTAGAGAGGAAAGGGGAGAAAGAGAAAGAGATAAGCACTGATTTATTGTTCCACCCATTCATGCATTCATTGGTTGACTCCTGCATGTGCCCTGACCAGTGATCGAACCTGCAACCTTGATGCAATGGGGCTATGCTCCAACGGAGCTACCCAGCTAGGGCCTACATAGATAGTTTTATCTGTTTTACGCACAGGAGAGAGACCAAACACAAAAGCTCTATTGTAATTGTTTTCATGGTTAAAGAGAGGGAACCTCTGCTAAGCACAAAGGTGATATAATGATATTACAGAAACTTTCCCAGACATGCCTTTGGTAAAGTTGCTTATTTTTGTATGAACTTAAAAGTAAATAAAAGTATCATAGTGTAACTTTTCTCAGAAAAACA